CCACTTCAGAGATGCCACTGGCAGGTGATGGGGGGTGGGGCAGTTCCCAGTGTGGGGCTGAGTCTCTCATGGAAGGAACTCACAGACTGGCCCCAAGTGGGCTTTATATGTTGTTAAAATACATAAGTGTAGTTTAGCTTGCCCTACCCTAACATGTATTTCTTTCTTTCATTTTTTTTTGAGATGGATTCTCATTCTATTGCCCAGGCTGGAGTGTAGTGGCTCAATCTCGGCTCACTGCAACCGCCACCTCCTGGGTTCAAGGAATTCTCCTGCCTCAGCCTCCCAAGTAGCTCAGATTACAGGTGCCCACCACCACACCTGGCTCATTTTTTGAATTTTTAGTAGAGACTAAAAATTTTAGGGTTTCACAATGTTGGCCTGGTGAACTCCTGACCTCAGGTGATCTGTCCACCTCAGCCTCCCAAAGTGCTGGGATTACACGGGTGAGCCATCACACCCGGTCTTCTTTCTTTCATTCATTCCTTCTTTTCTTTTTGGCACAGGGTCTTGCTCTATCACCCAGGCTGGAGTGCAGTAGTGCAATCACATCTTACCACAGCCTTGACCTCCTTGGCCCAAGGGATCCTCCCACCTCAGCTTCTTGAGTAGCTGGGACTACAGACACACACGACCATGCCCAGCTAATTTCTAATTTTTTCATAGTAACAGGGTCTCACTATGTTTCCCAGGCTGGTCTCAAACTCCTGGGCTCAAGCGATCCTCCCACTTCAGCCTCCCAAGGTGCTGGGATTACAGGCTTGAGCCACAGTGCCTGGCCCTTGTTTACTATTCAGATGTTGGCAACTCTATGGTGTTAATTACATGTATACCATGTGCAAACACCAGCACTATATATCTCATTCCAGAAATTTTTCAACATCGGGAATGGGAACCTTCCCAGTTTAGTTTTGAAATGTCTTCCAAAGAGACTTCCCCACCCGAGGGTGTGGTTGGTCTTACTTGCCTTGGCTGCCTTCCCTCATCCTAACTTTTTATTTTTGAGACAGGGTCTAACTCTGTCACGCAGGCTGGAGTGCAGTGGTGCCATCTCAGCTCACTGTAGCCTCCAACTCCTGCACTCAAGCAATCCTCCCACCTTAGTCCCCCAAGGAGTTGGGACCACAGGCATGTGCCACCACATCCAGCTAATTTTTGTATGTTTTGTAGAGAATGGTTCTCCCTATATTGCTCAGGCTGGTCTCAAACTCCTGGGCTCAAGCAATCCTCCCACCTCAGCCCTGCCAATGAGCTGGGACTGCAGGCACACCTCACGATATTGCCCAGGCTGGTCAGGAACTCCTGGGCTCAAGCCATCCCCCCACCTCGGCCTCCCAACGTGTTGGGATTACAGGTGTGAGCCCCCCAACCTCTTCCTGACTCTTAAAAGCAGGTTGCTACTGGGCACAGTGGCTTACACCTGTAATCCTAGAACTTTGAGAGACTGTGGTGTGTGGATTACAAGGTCAGGAGCTCGAGACCTTCCTGGCTAACACCATGAAAACCCATCTCTACTAAAAATACAAAAAGAAATTAGCTGGGCATGGTGGCACACACCTCAGGAGGCTGAGGCAGGAGAATCACTTGAACCTTGGAAGCCGAGGTTTCAGTGATCTGAGATCACACCACTGCATGCCAGCCTAGCAACAGAGCAAGACTCCATCTCCAAAAAATAATAATAATAAAAAGCGGCTTGCTGGCACAGAAGCTTCTGGGCCATTGTGTGTGGAGGCATTTCCTGTGAGCATCTACCTTTGCCCTGAAAAGAGACTTTGTGTGTAGTCTGAGTAATGCCCCGAGGACATATTGGCTCCTAAATGTGTGGAACCTGTGAATTTTCCCTTATATGGGAAAGAAGTTGCAGAAGTGATTACAGGAAGGATCTTGAGATGGGAGGTCATCCTGGGTCTCCAGGTGGATGCTAAACATAATCACAAATGTCTTTATAAGAGAGAGCTTGCCAGCCCAGTGGCTCATGCCTGTAACCCCAGCACTTTGGAAGGCAGAGGCAGAAGGATGGCTTGAGGCCACGAGTTTGAGACCATCTTTGCCAACATGGTGAAACCCCATGTCGACTAATAATACAAAAATTATCAGGATGTGGTGGTGGGTGCCTGTCATCCCAGCTACTCAGGAGGCTGAAGCAGGATAATTGCTTGAACCCAGGAGGTGGAGGTTGCGGTGAGCTGAGATTGCACCACTACACTCCAGTCTAGGCGACAGAGAGCCCCTGTCTCAAAAAAAAAAAAAAAAAAGAAAGAAAAAGAAAAAAGACCAGTTGTGGTGGTTCACACCTGTAATCCCAACACTTTGGAATGCTGTGGCAGGTGGATCATGGGGTCAGGAGTTCGAGACCAGCCTGGCCAACAAGGTGAAACTCCATCTCTACTAAAAATATAAAAATTAGGTGTGGTGGCACCTGGCTGTAACACCAGCTACTTGGGAAACTGAGGCATGCGAATTGCTTGAACCTGGTAGGCAGAGATTGTGGTGACCCAAGATCATGCCATTGCATGTCAGCCTGGCAACCAGAGTGAAACTACACCTCAAAAAATAAAAGTCGAGAATTGACAAATGGGAAAAGGCATGGGGAGATGGAGGCCGAGACTGGAGCCACGTGGGCTCAAGCCAGGGGATTCCTGGAACCCCAGAAGCTGGAGACAGCAGGAGGAATCCTCCCCTGAAGCCTCCAGAGGGAGCACAGCCCCACCCACACCTTGCTTTCTGATCTCCAGCAGATCTGTGTGACTTGTTACAGCAGCCACAAGCCACTCAGACTGATGACCAAAAGGGCTTGGACTCTAATGACAGAATCCATTCATCCCAGGATT